CTCCTTCCTCCTCAGGCCCTTCCTGTCTCCTCCTTCCTTTTCAGGCCCTTCCTGTCTCCTCCTCTCTCCTAAGGCCCTTCCTGTCTCCTCTTTCCTCCTAAGGCCCTTCCTGTYTCTTCCTTCCTCCTCAGCCTCCTTCCTGTCTCCTCCTTCCTCCTCAGCCTCCTTCCTGTCTCCTCCTTCCTTTGCAGGTCCTACATGTCTCCTCTTTTCTCCTCAGGCCCCTTTCTGTCTCCCTTCTCCTCAGGCCCTTCCTGTCTCATCCCACTCCTCAGTCTCTTCCTGTCTTCTCCTTCCTACTCAGCTCCTTCCCATGTCCTCTTTCCTCCTCAGGATTCTTCCCATGTCCTCCTTCCCATCACTTCCTTCCTTCTCAGGCTCCTTCCCATGTCCTCCTTTCTTCTCAGGCTCCTCCTCTCGACTCCTTCCTCCTTGGGCTTCTTCCCATCACCTCCTTCCTAATTGGGCTCCTTCGTCTCCAGGGACCTCGTAGTGCCAGGGGACCTGGGAAGTCACATGTTCTTGCTGACGTCCTCAGTTCAGTGGGTCATCTGTGTTTTCCATCAAACTCTTTTTGCTCAGACTCTCTGTAGTCATCTTCTGTCAGGGTAAGGCAGCCTCTGGCACTGGAAGTTCTTTTTTATTAAGAAGTGTCACATTTTATGTCACATTTTACCCTGTTAGAGAGCTGAATAGCTTCTAACATTTTTCTACTATTTATCCATGTTTCCATCAGGAACAAACTTTGAGATTTGCATATTTTAATATAATGTTGACTGGCTGAGATTTTCTCATGACCTTTGGGTTTCTGGAATTGTGTGTGGTTGACTTGTGCTGTCAGGTTCTTCTCTGGAACTGTCCTTGTGGTTTGGCATCAAGATGGTGAGGGCTCATTAAACTAGGTGAGTAAAATGCTCCCTCTTTTTTTCTCTCTGTATAAATTGGAATTGTCTTTGAAAGCTCTGTAGAAGTCATCCATAAAATTATCTGAGTGTGATAGCACTCGCCTGTAAAATTACCTGGGACTGGGACATTCCTTTGGGAATATTTAAGCTACTAACTTAATTTCTTTAATAAGATTATTTAGACCTCCCCACTCCTAAATCACTTTTGGCAAGGAATATGAGCTGGCAACTTTTCTACTGTTATCTCATATTTGTACTTTATCTGACATTTACAAAATATTCTATTTGATCTAAGATTATAAATAGTTTTGACATAAAATTATTTATACTGCTTCCTAATTTAAGTATCCAACACATCTGTTATGATGCCAACAATTTATTTTCCAGTATTGTCATCTGCCTTTTCCCTTATTCAGCTTGATCAGCCATACCAAATCAGGTTTACTGTATGTATTTTTTTAAAATCCCTTTCATATAGGCAGGAGCACTATTGGCTTGTTTATGAAAACACAGAAATATGCAAAGATCTCTGTGGAATCTGGGTTCACTTATCAAACAGCACAGAGAGGTGCTCACCCTGGCACACTTGGGCTCCTCTGTCCCTGCGGCTTCTCCCGGGCCCAGGTGGGCTGGCAAGGCTGGGCCTCCAGCGCTGTCACAGGGCCGGTCCYGGGGCTGTTGGGTACCTGATGGAGGGCGAGGCCTCTGCAGGCAGAGCACTGTACAGTCGCTCGTCACCTCCCCTCACCAAAACGTGCTTCGCTCCATGAGCATTGGGCTGGAAGATGAATCTGCTGTTAGACATAATATCACAAACCAAAAGAAGTGAGAGAATACAGACCAGCACAGCATGGAAAGTAGCTGAGTTTGTTTAGGAAGTTGCTTCTGCTTGGAGTTGCTGTTAATGGTCTCAAAACAGCCAAAATCAGAGGCTTCTTTGATATCAGACAGCATCACATTGGATTGCTTCTCCTCTGTAGTAAAGATGTATGACTTTGCACGCGGAGCTGCTTTTCAACATCCTTGGGGACTGAGTGCAAGTGGCTGGGGTTTAGACACCTAGCAGCCTTTGGAAAGACGTGATAACAGGAGAGGGAAGCATCCTGTCCAACCAGTGAGGCTTTGGGGGCCAAATTTAAGAGAAATGACCCACAGACAATTAACCTTATATCAATGCAGGACATCCATCCTGTCATTCCCATGAGGGTTCTGTCTGATGTCGGGGTCCTGAAGTCATGGGGTGTGCTCCAGCCCATCTGCCTGTGAGGTGCCTTCAGAACACAATCTCCATGGAAATGGAGGGAGACCCTCATTACTATACAAAATGACATACAAGAGGTTGCGAGGGGAAGGGGAAAATAAACAAGGAGAGAAATGAATTACAGTAGATGGGGTAGAGAGAGAAGATGGGAGGGGAGGGGAGGGGGGATAGTAGRGGATAGGAAAGGTAGCAGAATACAACARTTACTWATWGKGCATTATGTAAAAWTGTGGATSTGTAACCGACGTGATTCTGCAATCTGCATTTGGGGTAAAATTGGGAGTTCATAACCTACTTCAATCTAATGTATGAAATATGATATGTCAAGAGCTTTGTTATGTTGTGAACAACCAATAAAAATAAATAAATAAATAAAAAAGAACACAATCTGCTGCAGCTCACAGGCTCTCAACATCTTCACGTATCCATCCAATCACCCTGACCCACCCGGGAGACAAGCTGCCCCACTGCAGGTTCCAGGAACACCAAGTCAACCCCAGGAGGTGCCCAGGGGCAACGAGGATGGAGAACAGAATAGGGACCCAAGAACAGCACCATCAGAACAAGGTCCAGGAGACCACCAYGCCCCTCGGCATGGGCTGGAGCCTGGCCGCAGTGGGCAGGGAGACTTGCTTCCACACCACCCTTTCTGTAAGTCACCTGTCCCCATGCCCAGGTGCCCGWGCCTGCCTCCCTGGGCAAGCACGTGGTCCAAAGGCACCCCTGTCTTGCTCTTGACCCCTCTCCTCTCTACCCCTTGTAGGACAGCGATGGATGGACTGAAAAGAGGAGCCAGAGACTCCACGGCTGAGCCTCCATGGAATTCCCCAGTTAAGAAAGAGGCTCTGGGACGTTCGCAAGCACCACGGGTTGGAGAGCAGGTGCTGGTTCTGAGGCCTGTTCTGGGGCGAATCCCATGGAGACATTCCTAACAAGACTGTCCAACTGGTCTCAGAAAAGGCAGATAAGGAAGAAAGAATTAATGGCTCCAGCCACTGATGGCAACATCAGATTGCCTCTCCCCAAGCTGCAGGGCTTCCCCAGCAACCCACCCACCCTGTATAGCCACGAGTAGCCTCAGATGGCTCACGCCCCAGCCAACCCCTGACGGGTGCCTGTATCATTCTCAGATTCTACCCATCAAGCAGGTCTTAAGAGTCCAAGGAAAGAGTAAGACAGATCAATGTGAATCTGTCCCATCTCCTTCCTCAACCAGTCCACCTCCTGCAGGGTGCTAAGGAGCCACAGATGGACACAGGCCAGCTGCCATACAGGAATCACAGGAGAAAGATGGAGGATAATGGGCAAACTCGAGAGAGATTAATTACCAACGATACTGATTTTCCTTGGGTCGATTAGTTATCAAATGACTTCACCCTGCCATTAGCGGGATGGCTGTGTCCTCAGTCAGAGGTACACACAGTGGACTGCGTTTTTTCACATGACAGTTTGCCCTTCCTTTTGCGTGAAGGAGAGACAGGGTGCAATCCATCCTGCAGGACTGCGGTGCCCCAGCATCTCTGTCCATGGGACGCTCTGAAGACTACAGGAAAATGCAGGCTCTGACTCCAAGAGTCCGAATGCAGGCCACGTGTGTGTGTCTGTGGTCTCTGAGCTGCAGCACCAAACAAAGATCTGGCAGCTTCCAACCCATCCTTATGTGGTCCGTGTCTCCAAAGCGTGGGTAGGGTGAGTGCATGAGCAGGTCACGGGAAGGGTGGCATGGAGCCTCACCAGTCTCCGTTTATAAGGGCAGACTCCTGCAGGCAGATCCTGAGTCCATGAGGAGTCCTTGATGAGGGTCTGGTATGACTCCATGGAGCACTGGGTACAGGAGGAGCTCCCCTGGGGTGGGGACGTGTCTGCAGACCACCAACTCCATGGAGCACTGGGTACAGGGGGAGCTCCCCTGGGGTGGGGACGTGTCTGCAGACCACTGACTCCATGGAGCACTGGGAGGCTACCTCTCCTCGCCTGCCTATGTCCAGGATCGTGAGATCTGGATCATGAGATTCACAGGTGTCATTGGTTCCAGGACTGAAGTGTTTTAAATAAGTTTCTCAAAACCAATGAAATGAAGTCAGAATTAGAGAAAATGTTTGCTGTTGGTACAAAGTTGACATTGACATACTCATAGCGCCACCTGCTGCAATTCTGAAGCCTGTGTGGTGCTGTTGATCAGAAAGGGTGGGTGACAGATCACACAGGTCTTCATGTCACCTTTGTCTCCAAGGAAATCATGCTCTGGGGTTTCAAATGATTACAATTCGAATTGGATAGAGAAATGCCCCAAAATCCTTATCCAGAATTCATCTTTTCAATCAAAATTTAAATTTTGGACAAAGACCCTGAGCATGTTAATTTTTACTCCTGCTGTTTGTAAAACACATCAAGGAGGAACTTGAAATTTTTCTTCATGTTTTAAAAGGACCAGAAATGGACGCACTAGTCTTTTGAAAATGGAGCTTCAAGGTATACCACAATTCATGTAGCGGCGTAGGCCAAGGCCCATCACCCCCATTTGAAGCTGCTGGTGTAGGAGGTGGATCTCCAGGACCTCGGGCTGACCTGGAAGGGGCACAGGAGCTCATGTTGCTGGCCACAGTGCATGACTTGGGCTGGCGGAGGTGAGGTCATGTCCGCCAGGTGATCTCCAGGTGGAGGCCCAGCTGCGTGACTCAAGTGCCTACAAATCAACCCCCCGCAGGTTGTCTGTACCACCCATATCCCTACCCCTTCAGCAGGCCTCTGCCAAGTCCTGAGGCCTGGAGCTGCTGACCACTGAGGCTTCCAGTGACCCCCTTTAGGGGACAGGCACCCCCAGAGCCCTGGCAAGCCCCAAGGGTGTCCCTAGCAACCCTCCAGTTTAGACCCAAGCTCCAGGCCAAGGGTGAGTGGATCGCAGCTGCACCATTCTGCACGCCGCCTTTCAGTGTCTTTGTTTAAAAGAAAAGCGTAAAAACTGGACCTCAGCACCTGACCAGTCATCCGCAGCTCAGTCTGCGCAGTGGCCCTTCTGAAGCACGTGCCCACCCAGCAGCTCTGCATGCGCCCTCACATGGCCTCAGCCCAGGATCGGGAACTGCAAAAGACAAGGAGATGGTTTCAGGTGCATGTTTGGAAAAATCTTCCCTGAATATGTAAAAGTGTCCTGGACCAAAACAGTCTGCCCAGAACAGGGCCAGTACAGCTGTCCCCAAGTCCTTTGAAATCGCTGCCCCTATGGCACATTGAAACACCTCATAGTGCTGGGAAGTCCCTCAGATAAGGTCAGTGCTCACATTGTGGGTGCGTGGCAGGGGTGGGCTGAGCAGACTGCCGCCAAGGACTTCCGACTGGCGCCTTCTGAGGCTGAGCTCTTCCCCTGTGCTGCTGGTGGTCTTCCCAGTGAGTGTCCAGGGAGGCCGTGAGCACCCTCTCCTGGACACACGGATTCCACGAGTGAAGTCGTCTGTGTCAGATCCACACAAGTTATCAGCATCCAGAGCAAGTAGTCGCCAACAGGCCCCGGTCATGTTCTGAGCACCTGTCCCTTAATTTCAGTTAACAGGACCTTCAGGAAGTAAAGACCATCATCGGGATTTTGAAGAAACTGGGAATTTGCAGAAAAAATCAAGTTGCAAAACTTGATATATACAAGAAAAAAAATTATGTTTACAAAAACAAAACGAAAAATGTGCTTCTCAATGGACATAACGCAGCTTCACCAGGGCCAAGTTCAGGCCCCTCTGCGACAGGGGCAACGGCCAAGAGACCCCAAGGCTCTTTCACAGAAATGAAATTCAACATCGCCAAGGTCCCAGTGGAAGCCCCAACAGAGACGTCCAGCTTTGGGGATAGATAGCAGAGGACACCTTCTGATGACCCTCCTGGACCCTGGGCTTTGGACCGTCAAGGACGCTGGGCCAGGGGAAGCCTTGCGAGGAGGCTCCAGGGCTCCACGAGGTCAGGCGGCCTCCCCAACCCGGGCAGGCGCTGCTGTGTTCAGGCGGCTCCCAAAGCCATGGCCTGGTGTGTGGCTCAGGTCCCGTGTCCCAGCAGTGCTGGGCAGGGTCAGAGGGTGCCCAGCCTGAGTCCTGCAGCCAAGGGCCCCAGGGGATGGTTCTAAAGGCAGGCACGTCCGCTCTGCAGGGCACCCAGGGCTCCGCAGCCACACCCTTGAGTTGCAGAAGTTCTCTCTGCTGGTCTCAGACGTCATTTAGTGTCAACACCCCAGTCTTATAACTCAGTCTTACAGACACTCACACGCTGCTGTGGCCAGCCTGTCACCCAGCCCCAGAACAGGCAGTCTGACCCTGGGTCTCCGTATACATGAAGTGGGTGGGAACCTACTGGTGGTGTGCAGTGCACCAGTCGGACACCAGCAGGACACCAGCAGGACAGCAGCAGGACACCACGCAGGCCTCTCCCTGGGCCTCCACGCACGAGCCAGGCCCTGCTGTCCCTCCGGTGGGTCTGGGGGGCACTGCTTCGTCAGAGGCAGGAGCCAGAGGGTGGAGAACTGCTCCCCTGAGCCACAGGGGTGTGTGAAGCACGTGGGTAAAGCACTGAGCCAGCGGCAGTGCCCGGAAGCCTGGGAACTAGCAGGAGACCCAGCCCCTCCCATTTGCAGCAACAGGGGGTGTGATCAGGTGGTGCCTCGAGGTCTCTGTCCCCTCACAGGGGTGTCAGACGCCTCTTTGTGGATTGACCAAATGGGGAGGACACGCTCCACCAGGAGTCCTCCAGAGGGCCCCGTCTGTGGGAGGAGCACCACACACAGGTCTAAGGGAGAGGCAGGGTGCTAGGCTCAGGGGACTCCCAGGGCAGGGGCAAGGCTGTGGGGGAGGAAGGGAGAGAGAGAGAGAGACAGAGACAGAAGCACGCGGATTGAGGGCTGCCCTCCAGCTGCCAGCAGCCCGTAGTCCTGAGGGCTGAGGGCTGGGATGGTTTTGAATTCCCGCTGAAGCCACAGTAGCTCAAAGCCACGAGAGTCCTCTTTCTTCTCTTCTCCAACTTTCACCAGTCTCTGTCCTTGGCCCTTGGACTGGAGACCTCCCCAGTGTGTGCACCCTCCGTCACACCAGCAAGGCAGAGGCGACACTTCTGGCTCACCATCCTTGATTCATGTCCCATCGCACCCTGGCTGCCCAGGAGCCACTGGTCAGGCCTTGGAGACTGCTGTCCTGTCCCCAGCATTGCAGCCTGGCCAGTGGGTTCTAAGATCACCTCCCTGAGGGACGGTGAGGGGTGGAGGGCCGGTGGGCCTGCCGTGGAGGACGGGCTGAGCCTGTCTGTGTTCACTCTGTGGCCTGCCCGTGGCTGTGTGGTGGACACCCGGGGGGGCACTCGTGTTTACGGATCATCTGGACACACTGGCGGGGTTGAAGTGGTCAGCCCAGCACATTTCCAATAGGAGTAGGCGTGGACAGGAAGCTGCCTTGAACAGCCGTTTCCATAATTGACAATTAGCATCTTCTCCGTATTAGAAGCTGRGTTTTTTAAAACCTACCATTTGGGGAAACTTTATGAGAAAAAAATAAAATGAACAATTATGAATGAGGGCAGCTAACTATGGTAAAGGATGAGGTCAGCCTTGGGAATCGGAGCTGTCTCTGAGCGGGTGTGTCCTGAGCGTGGGGGTCACGGTCGGCCAGCAGTGGCCAGGTGGTGGCGGCTGACCTGAGGAGCCTGCGGCACTCCGTCTTGGCGGAGACTCTTAGCCCCAGCACCCCCTGGAGCCTGAAACACTGGCTGAAATGGCAAACAAATTCAATTACCCTGCGATTTTAATTAGCACAAAAAATAACCTCTTTGTTAACAAGAAAGAAATTGATTCGGAACACACAGGTACAGTTGAAAAACCAGCACGCTGAGGTGACTGCAGAGAGCCAGGTGCCCTGCGTGGCCTGGTTTACAGTAATCCGTATTTACAAAATAGTTATTGCTTT